TGGCTTAGAGGTTAATACATCGTCCTGATATGTAAGCAGCCCAGGATTCAAATTCCAGAAGTGTATGGCTGTGCAGACAGGAGGTTAAAACAGGGTCCCTTCCTTGGAAGCTAGCTTCTTTGTAAGACCCCCCCCCCAAAGAGGGGGCTCCCCAACCAAGGAGATCCCCTCGGAGAATCGAGGGTCTGCATCCTCAGGAGTAGCCAGATTTGGCCAGGTTTACATGCTCCGGCTGGCCTGAACGGCTCCGTTTGTGGTCAACACATTATCTGGCCAGGGCGTGGGATTTGACTGGTTCGGGTGAACTGGATGTCAAATTTGCATCTGGTTCGCCCAATCGGTAGTTGAACCGACTGGCTGGCCCCACCCACGTCGCCCCTCCCCTCCTGTGAGTCTACACACGGCCCATTTTCGAGGCAGGTAAGTGCAGGATACACGCGGAGGCTCTGGGAGGGGGGGAAGAAGTACCGGAAGTTGGAAAATGGGCCTGTTTTCAGCTTCTGGAGGGCCTCCGGAGCCTGGGGGAGGCCATTTTCATCTTCCCAGAGGCCCGAGGAAAGCCTCTGGACCAAAGATGACTTCCGGGCTGGTATAACCACTGGTTCTGTCTATTAGCGTCGCGGGCGTGCAATTTACGACCTGCTGAGCTGCCTGGACCGCTGAACAGCGCTGCGTGCAAGTGCGCAGCAGTTGGAAAAGCCCCGCGCCCTTTTTCCTGCTTTTTCAACCCGCAGCTGTGTTGCGCAAAGCAGCTGCGTTTGAAAATGCAGGAAATAAATGTCAGCTAAGAGCCCAGGCGGGCGGACGGGCCACAACGGCAGCAGACATAGAACCGGTTCTATGTCTGCTGCTGTTTGGAGCAACCGGTTCTACAGAGGTGGACAGAACCGGTAGAAGCCCAGCCCCGATCTGGACCCTGGAGAAGGCGAAAAGCGGACCTCCTGGAAGTTCCGATAGGCCACACCCACCCAGCAACGGGGCAGCGAACCAATTGCTGGGATTTTTGAATCCCACCACTGATCTGAGCCCACCCGACACACACACACACACACACGCACACACAAACAGGGCAGGCGTGTTGTGGTTTGCCAGCAGCCGGTGAAGACGGCAGCGGAATCAGACAGTGGGGAAGAATGGGGACCATCCGGACGAGGGTC